TTTGAAAATTGGATTGAGATTATTCTTCCTTTTTTTTTTTTGTCTATTCTTACTCTCTTTGTTTAGACTTATATTTGTTACCTTTTTTTTAAATCCGATTTTTTATTTAACACATTTTATTTATCTTGCTTTTCATTTTTTTTATCTATTACTATAAAATAGAGTTAAAAAATACAATTTCGCTAAATTTTTTCCCGCTCAATTATTTCGAAAATTACCTTTTGTGAAAACTATTTTTGAATTTATTTCACAAATCCCTCCTAAAGTTTTTTATTTGATTTTGAATAGAAAAAAAACAAAATTCAGATTATTATTACACACATTTTTTAGCACCTTTTTTTTAGGAATAGATTTGGTTAATTTTCCCCTATTTTAACTCCTTCCTTTTATGAAGAGATTTGGTTAATTTTTTTTTTTTTTGTTTGTGAAATTCGTTTTTTACTATTTGACAAATTAATATTGGATATGTTTTGAAAAGATTCCTTTATTAAATAAACAATTTCATATGTTTTAACTTCCTATTTTTTAGGTTATGATTTGGTATATGTTTATTGGTTAAATCTGATTTTTAAGATAAGCCTAACTAAATATATTTCTTTTTTTTAGGATGTGATTAAGGAAACAATTCCATAATAATATGGATTCTTTAAAGTACGATATATTATCTTCTACATAACCGATTTCTTTTGGATACGTTTGAAAATAATTTCCATTGTTTTAAAAAGATAATGTACGATATGTTTAAAAAAAAATCCTTTATTAAAGAAACAATTCCATAACATATTCGATTTTAATATTTGTATGCAAATAATTATTTTGAAATTTTGCTTATTTAAAACAGTTGAATTTAATATTGGATATGTTTTGAAAAGATTCTTTTATTAAAGAAATAATTTCTAACATATTCGATTTTAATATTTTGTATGCAAATAATTATTTCAAATTTTGCTTATTTAAAACAATTCAAATTAATACTGGATATTGTAGATCACATCTATTATTTGCTTACTATATATTTAAAATCTAAAATAGGTTGAATTGGGTTTAAGGTGATAAGTACGACCTTTTTTGTTGTGGGAAATCAAACAAAAGGTATACTATTTTAGGTATAAATTCTGATTTCATTTGATAAGCTCGATCAAATTTGATTATGACCGAATCAAACAATTTTGAACAATATTAAATTAATCGATTACTTTTGAATTAATTTTATTTGATTTTCACGTCGAAAAATTTCTAAAATACTATTTTATTTTATTTTTTTGTGGAAAATATCGGCCGGATGAAAAGGTCAAATTCAAATTGAAAAAAATTATTATTTTGAAAAATATATTTTGTAAACCTTAAGTCATAAAAATATGGTCAATGATATCTTTAAATACAACGGATATATATGGTCAATAATATCATAAATTATTTTTTATATTCGGGTATTTCAACTTAATTGATGATTTTTTTCCAAAAAGTATGATGATCATATAATTAATTTTATCATATATCTAATGTTTGATGTTATAGTTTAGTTGGGGATACCCATTGTATTCAAATAAATAATAATTTTTCATATTTGGTATTTCTTTTTTTACAATAATGAGATGTTAAACATAAATAACTATGTCTAATATAAAGTCTTAGAAAAGGTTTTAAGTAAAAAGTCCGTCCGTGCATCGCACGGGATACACACTAGTGCGATGGAATAAAGATAATCAAGAAATATATTGGAATAAAAATTAACTAATAAAATATGTAAAGTGGTTTTTATCTTTTTCTTTTATATATTTAGACTTTTAGTGCAACATAAATAGAGATTCTAAAATAAACCACTTAACAATAGCACGATTTAGAAGAAATTACATGACGACAAAAATTATTAAGTAAACTAAGTGCTTGTTATAAGACTTTGGGCATATACAAATAGTTTATATATGAAACTCATTAGTCATTACCCACCATTATTATAATTATAGTGATGGTCAAGATATATAATATTTATACTCCTCAGTTTATAAATAATTTAATTATTGATCATTTTACAACTATTCTTCTGATTATATATATAATATAAGAAATCTCACGAAATAAAAGAAGAATAGTTAAGATATAAAATATTGAAAAAAAATACAAAAAAAAAAAGAAAAAAATATTCAGATATATAATTCAAGAATTCAATAGATCAGTATTAGATAGAACTGTTAAACAAAACGAGTATTTTATCGAGCTTAGCTCGATCGAAATAGGGATTTTTAATTATTTTTTTATAATTCAACTCATTAATTAAGTCTCAATCGTCTCAGCTAATTAATATTGATAAACAAGACAAGCTTTTAAACGAGATGATTTGAGCCGAACCAAACAAAAAGTCATTTCAATATATCCCTGTCAATAATGGCATGGTGCCTCTCTAGGCTCTCAAATCAACAACCAAACAAAAGAGAGGAATTAATTAAATTCAATATATTCACAAAACATCTAGCATATAATACTGAGAAATACTATGTCCTGGTTACGATACCATCCCGTCAGATGTTTTAACCGTTGAATCATTTATCTTATCTAATTATACGTGGATCCAACAATTTAAAAACTCGACGCACAACGGAACAGTAGTATTTCCCTAAACTTTAAGCCCTCAAATATATATTTTAGAAAAAAGTACTGTGTACAGTGCATCAAGTTCTATATAAAGGAAAAAGGAGGTGCCCTCATTTTCATGAATTTGGATGATCCCATGCACCCATTACCATGATTCTCTCCAGAACTAGTTTCTCTCTCTCTCTCTCTCTCTCTCTCTAGGCAAAACTCATTTGCTTTTCTCTCACTAGCTAGCACCAAATCATATTAAGTATTAATATTAATTATTAATATTAATTATTAATATTAAATATTAAAGCCACCTTCTGAATTGATAAAAAACAGTGTTTGCTCAAAGAAGAAGTCGGTTCTCATAAGTCATAAAAACCATGCCGTCGCTTTTAGCTTCCGCGCCGGCCAGCGCCGCCATTCTCCGGCCGCCACCCGCCGCCGCTCACGGCGGCCTGAGTTCCCCTCTATGTAAGTTGTGCATATTTTCACTTTGACCCCTCCCCTTTTTTTTTTTGTCTTTTTCGTGGTATCCTTTTATTTTTCTTGAAATGGTTTAAAAAGGAGTCGCTGTCACTTTTGTTTGGTCTGATTCAGTTTTGTTTAAATGGTTCTAACGTTTGACGCTTCCTTTATCGTCTACTGTTTTCTTGTTCTCTTATACCAAATTTTTATTCTTTAAAAAAAACAATAAATAAATAAAAATAATTTGTGATTTGGACTTTATTAAGGTTGGTGTTTGAAATTATTCCAGGTGTTTTTCCATGTTGGAAGCCAGTAATTATTACCTACGGTTCGCCCCTGCGGTGCCGTGCAGTTGCCAGATCTCGTACTCGAGGTACAAATTTAAAAATTATCCCACCACTATAATTTATTAAATTCGTGATTAATAATTAAATTAATTCGATAATGTTGAGTAATTATTTTTAATTTTAATAATTTTTTTTTTAAAAAAAAAGAATGGAAAAAAGCAGAATATTTAGATGTGATTCAGAATGACTTATCAACCATAAAGCGGCAAGAGATTGTGGAGGATGACGCAGAAAGAGAGGTGATTTCTAATTTTCCCGCAAAAAATAAAAAAATAAAAAAATAAAAATTATATTAATAATAATTTTATTTTCATTTTCTCTGTTTTTTTTTTTTTAAATCATCACATCTGATTTGATTATTAATTGCTGTTATTCGTAAAAAAAAAAAAAAAAAAGGGAAAAAAATCGGATAGGATAAGGCCGCTGGTGGAGACGATAAAATCGATGATGCAATCGATGGACGACGGTGACATCAGCGCCTCACCGTACGACACCGCGTGGGTGGCGCTGGTTGCTGACGTCAGCGGCGGTTCCGGGCCGCAGTTCCCGGAGAGCCTCGCCTGGATCTGCCGGAATCAGCTTTCCGACGGCTCGTGGGGCGACAAGTTGATATTCTCTGTATATGACCGCTTGCTCAACACTTTAGCGTGTGTGGTAGCTTTGAGGACTTGGAAAATATACTCCGACAAAAGCGATAAAGGTTAATTATTTATTATTAGTTAGGAAACTGCTACGATTTCGTTACGGAACATTCTGTCGGATTTACAACTTTTAGATTATTATGTAATCGTCAGGATAGATGATCTAACGATTACAAACTCTACAAAATGATTCCGTAACGAGACCATTTCCTTAATAGTTAACATACTAATTATTATTATTATTTAAGGAAAATCGAGCTAATTGAAGTTTTTTTATTGGGTTTGTAATGTGTAGTATTTGACTTTTGTTTTTTTGTATTAATTATGATTGTTTATGGTTGGGCGGTCTATTTGGTCTTTTTGAAAATTGACTACTTCAGTCAATTTTATTTGATTTTTAATTTTTGATAATTAATACTGTTTTTTTTTTTCTTTTTCTTAATTTAATTTTATTTATTTTTGTAGGGATATTGTTCATAAAAAAGAATTTCCACAAGCTTGGGGATGAAAATCCAGAGCACATGCCGATAGGGTTCGAAATAGCCTTGCCGGCCATGATAGAAATGGCTAAAAAGCTTGAAGTTGAGATCCCAGAAAATTGTGCAGGATTGCAAGAGATTTATGCAATAAGGGAGTTAAAGCTCACAAAGTAAGCATGCATATATTATAAATATAAATAAATTAAATGTAATTGTATACAACTATCCACGACCCTTACATGATAATCTAACGATTAAAAATCTCAATATAATGGTTCCGTAACAGGACTGCAGTATTTATCGGGTAATAATTACTGTTTCTGCTCAAGAATAATATACAATTGATTCAAAAAGAAACTGGTCTAGTGATGGGAGCCCCAGCCTTATCTGTCAACATAACATAAATATATTTGATAAAGATAGGTTCAACATTAAAATAATAATAAAATGAAAATATATAGTTTATTTTTTATTTATTATTATTATTATTATTTTTTATTTTTTTTTATTTTAGGATACCAAAGGAGACATTGCACAAAGTGCCAACAACATTACTTCACAGCTTGGAAGGGATTGGAGGGCTAAAATGGGAAGAACTGTTGAAATTAAGATGTGCTGATGGCTCTTTCCTTTTCTCCCCATCTTCCACTGCTTTTGCGCTCCACCAAACAAAGGATGATAATTGTCTCAAATACCTCACAAATTGTGTTGACAAATTTAATGGAGGAGGTAATTAATTAATTAATTAATTAATTAATTAATTAACAAAAAAAAATACATAATAATAATAATAATTATTATTTGAATTTTGTAATTTCGATTTTTATTGGTAATTTTTCGAGTAATTAGTTAATTAGTGTATTCATATGATTCATTTATTAGTTCCTAATGTGTACCCCGTGGACTTGTTCGAGCACATTTGGTCGGTGGACCGGCTGCAGAGATTGGGAATTTCCAGATATTTTCAGTCAGATATCGACGAGTGTATCAGTTATGTTCATAGGTATATACTTTCAAATTATTTTTTTTTTTTTTACAATTTTTCGTTATTTTTTTACATAATTAATTTCTATCAAATTATAAACTTTGGAATAGTTAATTAAATGTAACATATAAAAAAAATAAAAATAAAAATAAATAAACAGGTATTGGACAAGTAAAGGAATATGCTGGGCCAGAAATTCCAGAGTTCAGGACATTGATGACACGGCCATGGGATTCAGGCTCATGAGGTTACATGGCTACGATATTTCTGCAGGTAATTAATCAAAAAAAAAAAAAATAAATAAATAAATTGCAGCTTATGTTCATTAATTTGGAGCAAATAATCAAATAATAATGTGCATCAAATTTTTTTGGATTGTTTCAATTTTGGGAGATGTTACGGTCACGTTACGGAATCATTCCGTCAGAGTTTGTAACCGTTAGATCAACGAAACCATTCCGTCGAAGTTTGTAACCGTTAAATCAAATATCTCCGACGGTTACACGATGATCTAACGGTTACAAAATTCGACGGAATTTATAATGTGACCGTAGTATTTCCTTTATTTTATTAGCTCGTATGTAGTATAAGGATATGTTTCCGCATGCAGCGGATAACCGTGACCGAGCCACACGTGGCGCCTGTGTTTTGCAGACGTGTTTAGTAATTTTGAGAAAGGAGGGGAGTTCTTCTGCTTCGCGGGGCAGACGACCCAAGCCGTGACGGGAATGTACAACCTGTACAGAGCATCCCAAGTGAAGTTCCACGGGGAGGATATACTCGTGGATGCAGGCGAGTACTCCTCCAAGTTTTTGTGGGAGAAGAGGGCCAAAAACGAGCTGCTTGACAAGTGGATTATTGCCAAAGACCTTCCTGGCGAGGTCAGTTTCGTAATTTCATAATATTAAGGAAACAAAAAAAAACTGTTATCTTTCAACTTTCTTTATGTTTTCAACTCTCGGTATTATCTTTTTTTTTTTTTTTGAACTCTTGGTATTATGTTCTCCAGCATACATAACAATGTGAAATGCTACAGTTCCATTACGGAACTATTTTGTTGGAATTTATAACCGTTAGATCATCATATAACCGTCGTGGATAGTTGATCTAACGGTTACAAAACTCGAAGAAATGATTCCGTAATGAGATAGTAGAATCTCTTCATAATAATAACTAAACAGTAACTAGTCACAAAAAATTGTAAAATATGTCTATTAATTCACGTGTTTAATAGTTAATAGTTATTTAAGGGTCATTTTTTTTGTATAATCACGAAAGTTATGGACCAACGTTGACTCAAATTAATATCATATTTTACAATTAATTTCCACTAATATAATATTATAATAATAATAATAATAATAATAATAATAATAATAATAATAATAATAATAATAATAATAAAAAACTAGCTAAATCGGTGGTGCATGAGTGACAGAATGTCATCTTGCCACGATTACCTCACATCGACCACCTCACAAATTAAAAGAAGCTCATCATAGCATATGATCTCTCTTTTAATTAATTTTTTCCATACTATATATTTTAATGTACTTTTTTTCTTCCTTTTATTTTAATTATTAACCATATGTCTCAACCGGCTTTAATTTAAAAAAAAAAAAAGCGTGCAAACTTTTTGAGTTTTATGCTAACTATACAGCTACTACATACACCTAATATGTGTATAAGTTGTCACATCAAAATGCGATTTTTAGAAAAGTGCAAGGTAAAGCTTTCAAGTGACCATGGGTAGAGACATGTTGTGTGATTTTCTATCTACTTAACAAAAGCTAATTAAAAAGGAAAGAATAATATATCCCATCAAGCAAACTCCCCATCCTTTTTTTATTTTTTTTACAAGGTTGTGACTGAGTGAATGTACATCGATCCTAAGAGCATCTCTAACCGTATGTTAATTGTGGGATTGTAGAAGCAATTTGATAAAATAACTTCTCCACCGATATTTTTTGTACTTCTATTTATGCTGATATGACATGGAAGAGATAGAGTTATTCTAAAAGTCCTTCAACATGTAGAAGTCCTTCTGGATGTGATGACATTTCTTTTCCTTTGTTTATTTTTTTTTTCTATTTTATATTATCCTCGTACAATTCATAAACAATAAAATTTTCTCAAACATGTATATAGTATTTACTAAAAGACTAACTAAACTTGAAGAAAAAATTTAGTTTATAATCTAAGTCGTTGATTAAATTATAGTTTGTTGGTATTTATTTGTACACACTTTATACAAATTAATTTACATAAAGAAAAATAAAATAAAAAAATTGAAAGACTTCTAAATCATATTATAAATTTAATGTTATATATTTTGTTATAATGATGTACTTAAATACATAATAAAAAGAGATTTTAAGAAAGATATCGATACAAAATAAATTTAATGGTATATATTTTGTTAGAATTATTGATAGGCCGGGATATGTGCGCATTTTATATATTTAATTGTGTATATTTATACACTTAATTTATTCGCACGTTTATATTTTTCGACTTATTTATTATTTGGATGGATTTATTTTCTGTGATATTTTAGAGTATTTTCAAGTTTTCTTACATATTTTTTATACATAAAATATCAAAGCAAATAAATCCATCCAAATAATAAATAAGTTAGAAAAATATAAAAGTGCAAATAAATTAAGTGTGTAAAAATATATTATTAAATATATAAAACGCGTACATTTTCCGACCTATCGGCATTATACAATACAATATGAAGCCGACCTATCGGCATTATACAATACAATATGAAGCTCAATAGAAAATAATTTATATTTTGTCACTCTTCATGAACAAATTTTTGTGCAATATATATAGTTGAAATTCGACCCTCCAGTTTTTTTTTTTATATTTTTAAAACAACAAAATAAAAAGATTAAAAAAAAATTGTGATAGACATTTACTGTGGTAGACCATTAGAGAGTTATTTATGAACCTGTTATTCTATTATATCACATGGATATTATAGACCATAATTCACTTCTATCATTGGAGATGCTCTAATTGTTCTCACTTAAAAGGTTAAAAATATAAATCTTTATTTAACGTTTTAAATACTTTTTTAAGAAATTATTTTTGTTTCAATGTAAAATGACACTCATTATTTGTAAGATTTGTTCATCCTACTATATACTATTTTTCCAATTCATATTATAATAACTTGACACATAAATTTAATTGATAATTAATATTTTATTATTTTTCAATTAGAATATGTTAGATTATTTAATTTTTATTTATAATAAAGGTGGATATACCATTTTCTATATGCAATACCGATATAAAATCTTTAGAATAATTAATGTCTAAACATGTGTATTGAAAAATGATTTCGAAAAAAATCATAGAAATGAATAAATTTTTTATTTCAAATATGAATAATTATTTTAGAGAGTACGATGAAATGAGATAAATAGTAATTTATATAGATGCCTTGTATAGACGTCTTTCATTTCATTTCGATAAAAATAGAAAATCTTGTATAATGGTCCAATATTAATTTATACAGATGTAACTCATAAAATCTTCTATCATTTCGAAAAAAAAATACTCATAAAATCTCTTATGACGGTGTATGAAGAAAAAGTTTTACAATGATCCACCAGTAATTTATAATGAGATATATATTTTTTTTATGAAAATAGAATAAGAAAAAACAATATTTTAATTCACTATACTTTCTACTCTTGTCGTTTTCTTGCTCATGCGGAATAATTATTTAATATAATTTCTTGGTATAAGGATCAAGTTAGAATAGGTGCATGTAGCGGTTTCATGAACCATGTACGGCTTTTAAAAAAATTAAATTAAAAATATAAGCTGATAATTAATATTATTAAAATATTACAGGTGGGATATGCACTTGACGTGTCTTATTATGCTAGCCTACCTCGACTCGAAACACGCTTTTATTTGGAGCACTATGGCGGTGAAGACGATGTTTGGATTGGCAAAACTCTATATAGGTACATCACATCTAAATTCACATACATTAAATTAACTTTGTCAGGTATCAATTACCCTCACGATTACATGATGATCTAATGTTTGCAAACTCGACGAAATGATTCCGTAACAAAACGTAACATTTCCCATTATTATATTCACTAATTTCTGTTGTGCCTTTCTACATAGTAATATTGTATTCTCTAATGTCTTTTGGTGCCTCAATTTAATACTTACATCTAACATTTATAAATTTAATTAATTAGCAACATATAAATGTTTGCGTATGTCTAGAAAAGTTTTCTAAACATAAATTCTTTTGTAAGTTGGCCTAACTGTTATAGAGACTAACCTGTCATATTTTTTTTTTAAATAAATACTTATGCTATGAAATCATATTTTTATTTATATTGTTTTTTTTAGTACATTTCTCTTTGAAGTATGTCTGTCTAACATTTAGGTCTGCACAACAACAATTGTACTACTTTGTAGAATATATTTATTGGTAAGACTACTGTTAGCCAGATCTAATAACAGATCTAAGAATTTCACTCAGAGGAACCCAATTTTATATATTAAATAACGAGCTTGTAGTTTAAGTCGAAACGTTCATTTCATATAAAAATATAGTTAATGCAACTATAATTATCGATATGTGTATCATCATGTTTTTAAAAAAATTAAAATTCTTATCGCCCTCAGACTTCTAAAAAATAAACAAAAAAATAAGATTATATAATTTAAGTACTATAAATGACATAAATGAGATTATATAATAATTTCTCTTATATTAATGTTTTCTTGTGTTTTGCATCTACAATATTAATATTCAGAATTTAAATGAATGTGTTATTTAATTTTCAGAATGCCACGTGTCAGCAGTAACACCTATCTTGAGCTAGCGAAATTAGACTATAATAACTGCCAAGTCTTGCATCAGCGGGAGTGGAAAAACATTCTAAAGTAAGATACACACGTTAGAATTTGATGATCAGATGAATATGAATATCAAAATTTTATTAAAAATTAATTTTCAGTGTTACTTATTTTGTTTATTGCTATATGTCTTTGAACTGCAGATGGTTCAAAAATTGCGGTCTCAAAGGGTGCGAAAAAATGGAGTCGAACTTTTTACAACGGTACTACATTGCAGCAGCTTCCATATTCGAGCCACAGAAATGGGTCGAGCGAGTGGGCTGGGCCAAAACAGCGATTTTAGTTGAGACCATCGTCTCGCATTTTCAAAGACAAGGGCTTTCGAGGGAACACAAACGCGCGTTCGTTGAGGAATTCGAACAAGGCTGCATTCTCAAGTATGCAAATGGGGGGAGGTGAAATATTGTCATTTTTCAAGAAAAAAAAAGTTCATATTTTGGTTATGTTTGTTAAAGTTAGCTGATAGCAGTTCAGATGTGAATTTCGAACTTATGGCTGAAAAACTAGCTAGTTGGTATGGCAAAAGTGTTAGTAAAATTAGCTGATAAGCCAACTGGAAAAAAAAAAATAATAAACAAGTTTATTTGAAAAGCTACCCAAAGAAGTTTATGAACTAAGCTCGAGGTTTTTAGAAAAGTTCGTTCTACCAAACCAAACTTATTTGTATATAGAAAACTTATAAGCTAAACAAATAAGCTATAAACTAGCTTACGATGCTCACCTAAACACTCTTTGTTTCAATATCTTTGTATGAATTGATGATATTCAATGAAATTATAAAACTTAAATAGTTATTCCGAACTTTTTGTAGGTATAAAACGAGATCACGACTCGTGGGAGCTTTGATTATGACTCTAAACCAACTCTCATTGGATATATTGTTGGCTCATGGACAGGACATTCAACCACAGCTGAGTCAAGTTGTAAGTTGAAAGTCATATTTATGTCAATTTTTGGATTTGCCTAGTGAAATCAAATGTGTATATCTGTTGACTAATGAGTAATGATACACACACATATATAGTGGTACAAGTGGTTGAAAACATGGGAAGAAGGAAATAATATTGGAGAAGGTGATGCAGAACTTTATGTCCATACCTTAAATTTGTGCGGCGGAGGAAGAAGGGCAAGTGCTTTAATGCTGTTCGAGCATGTGCTTTCGGCCCATCCGAAATACGAGCAACTTTTGAAGGCCACGATTAGCGTTTGTCATAAGCTTCGACTCTATCGTCATGAGCATCAAAAGGTTAGATCGGAAATATGATTAATTGAATTGAAAATGACTACAGTCTCGTTACCGAATCATTCAATTAGTTTGTTTTAACCGTAAATTATCTTCCTACACTAATCTGCATGCGTATCTAAAGAGTAATAATAACCACAGAATGATTCTGTGACGGGACTGTAGTCATTCCCAATCGAATTGTTATTTGTCAATGTATGTGCATTTTCGGACATATTTTTATGCATATTATTCATCGAGATGTTTAATAAAATCCGAACAATTTCTTCATCACCAGGCACACGATAGCTCAAGTGGCAAGAACGTTGATCAGATCGAACGCGGGATGCAAGGGCTTTTGAAATTGGTGCTCGAGAAGTCACCGGAAGATTTAGATTCTCAAATCAAACAAAACTTTCTTACGGTGGCTAAGAGTTTCTATTACACGGCTTACTTTAGTCAAGAAACTATCGACTTTCACATCAATAAGGTACTCTTCGAGAGTGTACTGATCTAATCGTGTTATACTTAGACATTGTGAGGGGCTCTGTAAATATATAAAGTAGCTAGCAACGTAGAGCATCTTTGAGAGCGCGGCAATAGCTAATCGAACCCGAAAACTTTTAGAAATCAAGCAATTCAAGCAAAAGATATGCATATTTCACATCTTTTTCTTTTTATTGTAATAGTATTTGTAGAGATGTTTCAAATTTTCTTTGCTGCTTAATGGAAGAAAAAAAATGAGATTATTCCATAATTATAAACCAAGATAAATTTTAGTGTCTTCATAAATCATTTCATGCTAAAAGTAAGTGCCTAACCATATCTTTGGGGGTGTATTAAATATGCTTTTCAAAGTCATGCCACTACTATCAAATCCTATGTATGTAGTATCTAATTTGTATCTGCCTAACACTTTTATGTTGTCTAAATAGCCAACAAGTAAATTTGTAATGGAGCCCACATCCCCAACTCAACTCAAATCCTTAGGTCACTGTTTCTGTATCTAATTTTGGTCTACACAAGAAGGAAAATAAAAAAATAAATGAATAAAGAAAATAAAATTAATTAAATTAAAAGTAATTATTCTATATGGAAATGCTACAGTCACGTTACGGAATCATTCCGTTGAGATTTGTAACCGTTAGATCATCATGTGACCGTCGGGGATAGTTGATCTAACGATTACAAACCCCACGGAATGGTTCCGTAACGGGACAGTAGAATCTTCAGTATAATATTTTAATTTAAAAATATTCAAATTTATTGAAAAAACAATATGATGGATAACCGTTAGCCCAACACGATGAAACCACATTAAAAATACTCATTTGTAAAAAACACAGTAAATTAGGACCATGGGGATATCTTTTTTGTTGAGTGTTGGCATTTATGTGGTTTATTTCAGTTTTTATGTTGTATTTTATGGTTAGACTAAGTGAGGGGTATTTTAGTCTTTTATGTCTTTCTTCTTCAATTATATAAAAACTGTACTTGACAGTTTATTTTATAACTTAAGATCTGAATATTGTTTCTTAATTCTTAGATTAATAAAATGGAGTTTGTAATTTTTCTCTCCAATTTCTTTCTCTGCTATACCATTTAATATGGTATCAGAGCAGAAAATTTTTAAAAAAAAATGGCACGAAATCCAGCTTGGAATGAAGTTGTGACAGGAACTCACAACAGAAATGGTGAAGGTAGTGGATCTGCCGATAATCGGCAAGCGGTGGCTAAGATCAGTGATCCGTTTGTTTTACATAATTCCGATCACCCTGGAATGGCGCTTGTAACAACACCACTCACCGGAACTAATTATCAGTCGTGGAGGCGTGCGATGACAATCGCGCTCGGAGCTAAGACAAAACTTGGCTTCATTGATGGAAGTATTGCTAAACCAGATCCAATCTCTGAAGATTTCGAACAGTGGAGGAAGATCGATTACACGATCTACAGTTGGATTCTCAATTCCTTAGGTAAGGATTTAGTTGATGCTTTCCTATATGCAGATTGTGCAAAGTCACTGTGGGATGAAAATGAACAGCGGTTTGGTGAGACTAATGGACCGCTATTGTATCAATTGCAAAAGGAGATATCGAATATTAGGCAGGATAATGATACAATTGCTGCATATTTTACTAAACTGAAGAAATTATGGGATGAATATGCAAATTTGGTTTCTATACCTGCTTGTAAATGTGGATCTATGCAACAAATGGTGGTAGCTGAGGAAAATAGAAAGTTGCTGCAATTTCTTATGGGGCTTAATGAGAACTATGAAGGAGTTTTGAGTCAGATACTTCTGTTAGATCCTTTGCCATCAGTAAATAAAGCATATTCAATGATCCAGAGGGTTGAAAAACAAAGGTTGGTGCAACATCAGTTTTCTGATGTCAGAGAACAAAGTGCTTTGTTTACAAAGTTCACTGGAGAAGGTAGAGGAACAGTGATGGGAGATTTTAATACTCAGCCTTGGCAAGGAGGTAGGGGGAGAGGTTTTGTCCGATTGAATAAGGAGGACAGAGCAAAGTTGAAATGTGATTATTGCCAGGAAAAAGGACATCTATCTCACTCTTGTTTCAAACTTCACGGGTATCCAGATTGGTTTAAGGCTCTAAAGGAACAAAGAGCAAGACAACAAGGAAAGTTTAATGCCAATGCAGTGAAGCTGGACACAGTGACTAAAGATAAAGGGGGAATTAAAGGGAAGTGCACTGATATGCCTTTGCAAGATATATCTAATATAATCAAGCAGGAGATAGCTAAGTACTTGTCATCTGGAAGCAAACAAGGATATGAGGGGACACAGAATCATGCAAACTTTGCTGATTATGCAGGTATAGTTCTTGACAAACCTAGCTTAGCTTTGACTAGTATTGAACATTATGATGAAGTTTTTTGGATATTGGATAGTGGTGCCAGTAGACATATGAGTCATAATCTCAGCCTTTTTACCAATATTCATTCCATACCATCCATTGAAATTTCTCTTCCTAATGGATCCAAACTTACAGTTACAAAATCAGGTCAAGTAAAACTGTATAATAGCCTTATCTTACATGATGTTCTTTATGTACCATCTTTCAAATATAATCTAATTTCAGTTGCTCAATTGGCACAACAATCATGTGTTTTGAGTATTTTCTATCCCACATATTTTTGCCTACAGGACCAGGAGACTAAGAACATTATTGCAAGTGGACAGACAGTGGGAAGATTGTACACCTTGAAGCCTACAGATTTTATTTCTACTACTTGTAATTCATTCACTATGTCCAACTTGAATTCTTTCTCATTATGGCATAGCAGATTTGGGCATGCTTCAGTTTCTGTGTTGGAACATTTAAATTTCATGAAATCCTTGTGTACTTCAGAAATTAAAACTTTTACTTCTCAATGTGAAACTTGTCATAAGTCTAAACAGCCTAGACAGTCTTTTCCTACAAGTGATTCTTCTGCATCTTTTTTGTTTGATCTTGTTCATATGGATGTTTGGGGACCATACAATGTTTTTAATATTACCAATACACCTTATTTTCTTACCTTGGTTGATGATCACAGTAGGGCAGTATGGATATATCTCCTTAAACACAAAAGTCAAGTACCAGACATACTTGATGACTTCATTCAAATGATACATACTCAGTTCAATTTCAAAATTAAACAGTTTAGGAGTGATAATGGGACTGAGTTTATTAACCATGCTTGTCAAACACTTTTTGCTAAACATGGAATTCTTCATCAGACCACTTGTCCTTACACACCACAACAAAATGGTGTGATGGAAAGGAAACATAGACAACTTTTAAACATTGCAAGGGCTTGTATGTTTCAGTCCAAATTACCTCAAAAATTTTGGCCTTACTCTATTCTTCATGCCACTTACCTTATTAACAGATTACCATCTTCATCCATTCGTTGGAAATCACCATATGAATTACTGTTTGGTCACCTACCTGATTATACTTCTTTAAAGGTTTTTGGCTGTTTAGCTTATGCAGTGAATCTAGACCCTCAGAAGTCAAAATTCACCTCCAGGTCTTTGACTTGTGTTTTCCTTGGTTATATTGCTGGTAAGAAGGGATTTAGATTGTACAATCTAGAAACTCATACTATTTTGGTTTCTAGGGATGTGCATTTTGTTGAACATCAATTTCCATTTCTTACATTGCAAAATGATACTGATACAGATTATACTACCCCTTTACCATTGGTTTCAGAATTAGAACCATATGATTTGATCCAGAATAATCAATCTACCCAAAATCCCATCCAATCTCCTGTACACATCTCATCTAGACACAACACCAGAACTAAAAAACCACCTTCTTAGCACTCTGATTATGTTCTCTCTTCCACAATTCGACCATTGTCTCCACATGCAACTAATGAGCTGGTCTCAGGTAAATCTTCTATATCTTATCCTCTCCAAACATTTCCTGAATACATTTCTCCTTCATTGAGCAAATCCTATGTGTCATTTTTGGCATCCTTATCTGATATACATGAACCTAAGTCATATGCACAAGCTAGTAAAAGTAAAGAATGGGTTGAATCCATGAATCAAGAACTAGCAGCACTAGAGAAAAATGAAACATGGGTTTAGGTAGATTTGCCACCTAATAAACAGGTCATAGGATGTAAATGGGTGTTTAAAGTTAAATTGAAACCTAATGGTGATATAGAGAGGTATAAAGCTAGATTAGTGGCAAAGGGGTTTCATCAAGTTTATAGGATTGATTATCTTGAGAGTTTCTCACCTGTTGCTAAGATGGATACCATTAGAATGCTTATTGCTGTTGCTTCTCATAAAGAATGGCCATTACATCATCTTGATATAAATAATTCATTCTTGCATGGTTCCTTACACGAGGATATTTTCATGACTCCACCAGAGGGCTATGAAAAAGCTGCACCTGGTCAGGTTTGTCATCTTAAGAAAAGTCTTTATGGGTTAAAACAGGCTTCGAGGGAATGGAATGCAGAATTTTGTGATAAATTGTTGATGTTTGGTTTTCATCAATCCTCTCATGATCATTGCTTATTTATTAAGGTTGTGGACTCAGTTTTTCTTGCTTTGGTGATTTATGTGGATGATATATTGTTATTTGGATCTTATTTGACTGCTATTATTGAGTTGAAGGATTATTTAGATAACCTTTTCACTATAAAGGATTTGGGAGAAGCAAAGTATTTTCTTGGTATTGAGTTGGCTAGAGGAACAGATGGCATTTATCTAAACCAAAGGAAATATATTTTGGATATACTGAAGGACACAGGCTTGACACTTTGTAAACCTGCTTCTACACCTTTGCCTTGTGGTTTAAAACTTTCTCATGATTCTGGAACTGCATTTCCAGAAGTAGAGCAATATAGAAGGCTTGTCGGAAGGTTGTTGTATTTGAATATGACTAGACCAGACTTGACATATGCAGTACAACAGTTAAGTCAGTTTGTGAGTGCTCCTCTCACCTCACATTGGGATGCTGCTATTCATGTTGTGAGATATCTTAAAGGTCATCCTTCTCTTGGTCTTTTCTATCCATCTCACAACACTTTTAATTTACAAGCATACAGTGATGCAGACTGGGGTGCTTGTCAAGATTCAAGGAGGTCCTTGACTGGATATTGTGTATTTCTAGGAGATGCTCTTATTGCTTGGAAAACCAAGAAACAAGCTACTGTTTCTAGGTCATCAGCAGAGGCTGAATACAGAGCTCTAAGTAGCACTGTATGTGAGTTGCAATGGCTTTATTTTTTGTTGCAGGATCTTTCTATTCCTGTTGTCACTCCTATATCCTTGTGGTGTGATAACCAAGCTGCTCTACATATTGTAGCCAATCCGGAGTTTCATGAGAGAACCAAACATCTTGACATTGATTGTCATTTGGTGAGGAATCAGTACAAGGCAGGTTTTGTTTCTCCCAGGAAGGTTTCTTCATTTCTACAGTTGGCTGACATATTTACTAAGTCCTTGGGTGTTTCTACTTTCAACTTATTGAGGTTCAAGCTTGGCATTGTTGATCTTCATCAGAAGCCAAGCTTGAGGGGGGGCTGTTGAGTGTTGGCATTTATGTGGTTTATTTCAGTTTTTATGTTGTATTTTATGGTTAGACTAAGTGAGGGGTATTTTAGTCTTTTATGTCTTTCTTCTTCAATTATATAAAAACTGTACTTGACAGTTTATTTTATAACTTAAGATCTGAATATTGTTTCTTAATTCTTAGATTAATAAAATGGAGTTTGTAATTTTTCTCTCCAATTTCTTTCTCTGCTATACCATTTAATATTTTTTCTATTACGCATTTCATGAAATAGATAGAAAACTTAAAATAAAATAAAAATAATGTTGCCTCTCACTTATTATTGGGGCTGTATATTTCAATTTGGACTATTATAGTTAATCATGTTATATGATAATTTTTTTATAGACCTATTCATTATTGGGCCTACAATCTATTTTGAAACGGGAGATCAAAACAAAAAATGACTGACCGCAAGCCCACTCGAAGGGTTAGATGTGTTTGTCACTTGTCAGTCTGTTAGCTGATCTATTTGCCCATACCCAATGTCGATCGGTTGTTTTGGTGTGAATAAAAATTTAAAAAGCAATTGTCGGATCAGTCTATCATAATAAAAAAGGAGAGTTCGATGCTACCTGTAACTGCACTGTAATTAGTAATTACATGTTTTTTGGTCTTAAGTGTGAAATCAAGTGCAAAAAATATGTAATTACAGTGCAGTTACATGTAACATCGAAATTCTCCATAAAAAAAATAGTAGACATGTGTACTCTTGCAGCCTTCATGAATACGTGTGAAGCATTATTGTCCCTAGTTGACATGCGACAATCATTATATTCTCATTTCTATCGTTTAATGTATCGATTGCATAAAAAGAAAATATTCAAGAAAGAGTGAAACTACTTCTTTGTTGATCTCAGTTTCTCATATGCTCTTTTGTTTTTACGTTTCTTTTGTTTATTACGTGATTATCAATATTTAAAATAGTTTGGTAACTAATTGTTATCAACAAATTATACAAAAAAAACTAGTTGTTTATTTGACTTGCATAGTAAGACAACGAATACTTGAAGCGGTATGATGGTGACACAAAAATTTGTACCGACAGGTTGACCGCAAATCAAACTAACTTGAAAAGCTAATATCCATATTTTTTTTTTTAAAATATCAAAACGCGCAAAAACATATAGAAATGAAATTGAATAGAAGTAGAATCGAGTATTTTATATTTTGAAATAAACAAATCAAATTATAAGCGGTAGCTCGATTTTTGGATTTTATGCCTTTGGAATCAGTTCGTGCAAAACAACATCGAATGAATTAAAAATTGAAACACAAACTAGTTGAAAAATTTAACTGTATCACACTGTCATACGTTGAAAAAATAAGATAAAATTGAACCGAGTTTTCTATGTTAAAATAAGGAAAATTCGATGCTACAGGTGGGGGCAGTGCAGTCATGCCCCCACCACCTTTGATTTCACACACACCCATGTGGGTGTGTGTGTATTTGTGTGTAAATCAAGGGCCCCTAGGGGCTGACTGCAGTGCCCCTAGGGGTAGCATCGAATTTACCGTTAAAATAACCTAATCGTATCACACTGAATTGCACGGTTGGGCTGGGTGCTCGGTTTTGCTCACCCCTACTTCCACGCAAAATTTCCACGTACAAAAAAATGCCACGTGTCGCTCTTGTCTCTCACTCCGCCACCCGCCCCTCTCACTTCTGACGCAAGATCAAAATTCGGTGGAAATTTTTCATCACAAAGCCGAAGCTTAACGTATTTCAGCCCTTAGCCATGGATAGCAGCCTCCTCACTCAATCAATCGCCGCGAAGCTCAAGCTCAAACGTCCCTGCATTTCTTCTTTCTCCGATTTGGCCCGAATCTCGAGCCCGAATCCGAATCCATTGGATGCGCTGTTGGAATCTTTTCTGGATCTGTCCGATTCATCGGCGATCTCGCTCGACCTCTCGATCGATCGGATACTCGACTCCAGGCCCTGCGCGTCCGACAAGAACGACGTCGTCGAGCGGGCGCTCCGGCTCGGCTCGGCTCTCACTGAAGCCGCCCGGCGAGCCGCCAGGAGGCGCGCGTCCATTCACAACGCCGTCGCTTGGGTGCTGCCGTCGGATATCACCATCAAGGTGCTTATCTGGTTTGCTCGTAAATTGCCGGTGTTGGATAATTCCGCAGTGTTGTATCGTTATCGTTTATATTGATGTTTTTAGCCCGTCACTGAATTGATGTTACTTGAATATGTTATTCGTGTTGCTTACTGTACTTTCTCGCAGCTGATTGTGTGGTGATTTTGAGTTTTTGAAAGGCTTGGATGCTCTTCCGCTTGCTAACTTCAGTTTGCAGTCTGAATTATGTATTGTTTGATTTGTTATGGAACTGTTAACTTGGCACCAAAACAATCACCTCATCTTACTAGCCTCAGTGTGCATCATAGTTTCAATTGTTTATGATGATCAGAGTGCTTGCAACGTGGTGTAATGGTCGCGTTTACAATGGAACAAAAGACTAATTATATATTCTTGCGTATGATTAAGAATGTTAGTTTTAATCTATATCGGTTGATTTTGCTTGAATGCCTTTTGGTTGCTTATGACCTTTAGTAGATATGTATTGGAGAATAGTATGTCTAACTAATCAATAGTAAGATTGGAAAGAACGCAAACTTGGCTTCTGTGATTCTCACATTTGATTTCTTTATTGAATATGCTCTGGCCGCAGGTATTCTCGTTGCTCGATACTCAAAGTGTATGTCATGCTGCGGCTGCATGCTCCTTTTTCAATAAATGTGCTGCGGACCCACTTTGCTATTCCAATATAGACTTGACCACAGTAGTCCCAAAGGTCAATAACATGGTAGTTTCAACTATGATTCAACGAGCTGGAAAAGGTCTGAGGTGAGAAGCATAGCCTCTTCTTTCATTTAAATATCAAGGGGTGCGTCGATTTGTAATTAAGTGTTCTCATTAATTTCTCCTCATGTCTCTAGCTCAAGAAATCTTGTCGTCCTATTTAAATTTTGCTTCCGACTTAAATCAATATGTCAAAAATGAAATTGTTTAGAACCAATAATCGTGACTAAGTGCGATCATAATGTGGCTTTGAATACTGTGTTTGGCGCTTGTCTCATGACCCAAAAATCTTGATTCTCGTACACTTGTCCATTATGTTCCATAAGGTGTTTCAGGTCAACTTTGGATTCTAAGAACTGCATTTATGTGCTCTCTGGCTTAAAGATAATATAATGACAACCTCTTAGTTCCTTTATGGCTCACAGCGGCAACTTAATCTACTCCTTCTCTCTGATCTATGTAATTCTTCGTAACCTGGCACTGAATCTGGGATTTCTTCAACTGTTCATGAGCTGGTGTAGGCATCCAGTTGTAGCTTTTCATAGATAAGAATAGTTGAATTTCCGCATAGCAAGTGACACTGATTACCTTACTGTTTGTAGGTCCCTTAAACTTGGGGTTCTCCCCTGCTCCTCTTCTGCATCACTGGGCTCATCAGAAGTGCTTCATTATGTGAGGAAATCTCCAGATAAATCACGTTTTTCATGGAATGATAAAAGGTTTAGACTGGAAAAAGAATCATTTGTACTTACGAGGTCTTGCTTGGCTCCATTGAATGCTGATGGTGGTTCCCCAGGGTAACATTTGATAGTTCAACTTTGTATGCTTATTTCTTGGGTTTAAATTCAACCCTTCTTATCATCTTCCTGACTTTCTCTTTATTAGAGCTCTGTTGAGAAGGCTGCACCTCTACAATATTGAAAGAATGGACAATACTGCATTTGGAGCTGCATTATCAGCTTGCACTTCTTTGCTTGATCTAGAAATTGTTGGCCTGTGAGTATCATAGCTTTTTTATTGCTATAATTGTTGTTTCTGCATGTTCTTTTTATATTGTCAGTTGATGTATGGTTGTGTTTAAGTTAAAGGGACCTGAAATAAAATTTCTAACTTAAGTCAGTAACACTCTGAATTGGAAGGAGTTCTAGCATGTACCATTCTCTGTTACTTTCATTGGTTGGGGTTGATATAGAGGTGCCCTGAAGGGTAGAGCCTTAGCATACTAGCATTTCTCCGTGAGAAATAAATTTGAATTTTGTTAAGGTATAGGTTAAAGGGAGGTTTGGGTTTCATATGTACCACTGACTGCTAGTTCCATAGGTTACATGCTCCTTGTTTTAATTATTATTATTATTTTTTGTCTTGATTAATAATTCTGTTCAATGGAAAACTTCCTATTAGATGTTAATAAATACTATTTTGTTATTTTATTTTGACAGGCAAGTGGAGTTGAGGCAGACACTGGAGTCGGTGAGTAGATCTTGTCCTCTAATAGAGCGTCTCTTTTTTGAATCATCAAAAACAGGTAAACTCCAGCCTACACATGTCTACTTTCAGATCTAAAAGGACAATTGCCTCACATTATGATGACTCCCCTCAGGTAGTGATGACAGTTTATTATTATTGTCCTGCAATGATCTTGTTACCAATTGTCCACATGTATCCTCGCTGGCACTAAGAGGTTTTAAACTGCATGACTCTAAAGTTCGTGTACTTGTAAAGGTATGCTGGTGTTTCCACATTAAGACTCATTAGTACTTTTTTTTTTTTTTTGGCTTTTTTATGTGCTCTTTCGTGAATTCTCCTTCCCTTCATTCTCATTTTGACATTATGTTCTGAAAATTTCATGTTGAATGGCTATTTTGCATCTACATGATATCAATGTAGGGATTTCGCGAATTGAAGTGTGTTGACTTTTCAACGTCCTACTCAATTACCGGCTGCTTTCTTAGGTATGCTTTAGTTGTCTTACGTGTTGAAATAATTATTTCCTATGCTATACGTGCACTGTTGGGTATGCTCTTGTTTACATGAATACTTTTGGTTCTTTTGCTTACAGGAATCTGGATTCCACCGCAGGTGGAAGCTCACTGGAGGTCTTACTTTTGCGGGAATGTATGCACTTGAGAGAAGTAACGATTAAACTCTCTATCTGTCTATCTCTCAAACTCGATAATGCTATATGGAATTTAGTCACTGTCAAAAAACGCGATAATTCATTATAAGGCAACATATTTTGTAATTCAGTCAGAGGTTTCACGTTTGCTGTCAGCAATACTAGCAGGACGCTTTAGTAACCTTAGGCACCTTGTGAGTGTCTCCCTTTCTGCACTATGTACCCTTTACTATCTTCCGGCCCTCAATCTTCATGCACTTAATTTTTTTCTCGTCTCTTATTTATAGGATGTGACCAATCGTGATGGGCTGGCGTCAGATGAGGACTGGTGCCATCGATGTTTTATCCCAAGGTGGATATCGACTTTCCCTAATGCACCTTTATTTTTCAAACATTGTGATGAACACTAATACAAGAATTCTGTAGCTTCATGCCATTGGACAGGTTACTGAACGCAAGGCCCAATTTATGCATAGTTGCCGATTTCCCTCAAGACGTGAGGTGAGCGTGGGATTGGATACAAATATGTTATTGAATATTTTGGTTTTGATTGGGTTTTTTTGGTTAACCATAGTCAATTTCGAAAAAGTTGGTCGTGTTAGGTTTGAGTGGGATTTTAATTTTTTATTAAAATATCATTTAAAATAAAATGATTAAACTTGATTTGATTTAGAAGTAGGAGAATGGGTAGTTAAAATTATATGATTTGATGAATATTGAATTATATTGATAATATCTAATTATATTGATAATATTGAGAATAGTGAGAGTTGAGGTAAATTTGACTACTTTGAGTTAGATTTTGAGTTAAAAAAAGTGAGTGGTGAAAAGTGATTGATTTTCGATTGGGTTTTTTCAAGTGTTCAACTAATCTCATCTTCAGTGTTTAAATGCCTCGATATCTGTTTTTTTTTTACTAAAATGGGAAATTTTTCCAATTTTTCCAATTTCCAGTTTTGTAGAGGAGCCGATGAGCAGTAGTGATGTTAACAGTGATATCGACTCGCCCTTGTTTATGGGCAGTTCATCGGAGATGAGTTATGGCAGCGATTTAAGTAGTAGCAATGAGGGCAGCCTCATTCGTGATGACAGCTCGGATGAGGTGGAGTAGTTGCAGAGATGTAATAATAACTGCCGGTAAGGTTTTGGACCAGACAGTTTCTCTTATTGGATTTTTTTATGGTGGTAGTAAGTCTGAGATAGTAAATTTAGCACAAAAAGGGACCAGCAACTCTTATCAATCGAAGTTTCCATTTGTGTTCTCGAATTCCCTGATTCTAAGTGTTTATATATCTTATTATTGTCTTTAATCCATTTGAAAAATTTCTGTAATTAAAATAAATAGTACTACCTCCTATTTTTAATATATGTCGTTTTGAGAAGTTGCACACTAATTAAGAATATTTTTTTGTCAATAATAACTTTATTTAATGAAGATAGAGATGAATGTTCTGAGAAAAAGTGAAGAGTGAATATGAAAAGACGTAATGTATTTATTGACTAAATGAGGGTAATAATGGAAAAAAAATATGTACAATATATCCAAAACGACATTTATTTGGCAAATAGTTAAAAAGGCTAGAATGACATTTAAAAAAAATAGGAGGGAGTATTCAATACTGGATTATGATGTTGGTTTCTTGATGAGACTTGTGAAAGCAGGGGAAAGAAGTATAAATGCAACTCCATCATAACATGTTAATGATGTTGTGGAGACATTTTAAGGGTGCTATTGGATATGAATAAAACTGGCTGGTTTTAATTGAATTTATTGGTCAAGGTGAGTTATTATCGAATAAAGTTGATTGAGTCGAGAATTTAGGGAAATTTAAGTCTGTAGTTTGATAATACTAGTATTTAAAATGTAATAATTAAAATTGACATAATGCAAAAGTAGATACTACCTCCTATTCATTTTAAATGTCATTTTGACATTATCAACTATTAACAAAATAAATGTCGTTTTGGATATTTTGTACATATTTTTCTATTATTATTCTCATCTATTTAATAAATACACAACGTCTTTTCGTATTCACTCTTAATCTTTTCTCAAAACATTCATTTTTATCCTCATTAACGAGGGTTATTATTGGCAAAAAAAAAATTCTTAATAACTGTGCAACTTTTCAAAACGACACTTATTATGAATAGGAGGGAGTACATGTTATTGGAAATGACAATTCGTTAAGAATATGAATATGTTGGGGAATGAATATTGAATTAAATACAATATATATGTGAGTGGGTGAATGTTGAATTAAATTTGAGTTGGCTTTTGATTCAGAAAAATATACGGTCAAAAAAGTTTAAGTTTTTATGTTTGGAGTCGATCATGCCCTGAAAGATCTCAACTTTTTCTTTGTTTTTTTTTTT